ACTTGTGGGCCGCATGCACGGAGTACCTATATTAAAATGTGTGATTAATATTGATGTAAAAATAAAAGCTGTCTTCGTTGAGCGTATTTTCCCCTCGGATGTAAAGATTCCTAGTTACATTTTGAATGACAATAATTTATTATAAGTTACAATAGTTTAAAAAAATACGAGAAAAAATAAAATTTTAGTATAATTATTTTATTATGTTTATTATCTATGTTTAGAATTTAAAATTTAATTATGCCAGCCGCACAATATTTGTTAAAGAGAGGACCTCTGTTTTACCGTGTAACTATAAGCTAACGGAAACTGTAGGTATATAAAATTAATCTCAATCCTCCTGCATTGGAATAATTAGTCTATCGTGTCTATTAGTGTATCGGCCCTTATTCTACTTGTGCCTCCATTTTTCTACTTCAACCTATTCTCCCGAGCGTACCAAAACGGTTTTGCCAGAATTTTTTTTTATTTTCCTTGAGATAAAGTTAAGTTTAATTCGAGTTGGGTGTCTCTAAAGTGATTTTTCAGATGTACATTACGTTTGTTAGCATTGTTTGTACGGAAGATAATGGTAAATAGTTAATACTAAATAGTGTAGTGATAAAAATGCAATAATAGTAAATTGCAAAAAAAATGCAAGGAAGGGAACGGAGAACAGTCGTTCGCGCTCACATGATAATAATATTATAATGAACGAGCAGAGCGCGCGCACGCGTCCGTGCCTGACCTTGGCAAGGTTGAATTTTGAGAGTCCGACGAACTGCGCGGCAACGTCGCCCTCGTGCGCACACCGTCAACGTGAGTATAGTAATAGTTTTGTAACGTCTGCCGTCACCGCCGCCGACGACGTCCTCTCGTCGATTTATAAAAATAAACAACCTCGCGGCGCTCGCGTCCTCTAAACCAACGCTAGTGCGCGCTCGTGTTCGTGCGAAAGTGTGCGGAGGTGACGGTGCGTCTACCACTGGAAAACGAGAAAAGCGTGTAATAATTTTTCTACGTTAACCGTTGGGTGTTATAAAAATTATATAATATATCATAATAACCCTAATGCAACACATTCAAAAATACTTATCTATCTACCCTTTCAGGTCTTTCACSCGACGTTTCACGATATAATATATATTTTTACGTTAATTTTTTCCTTATGTTTATCGTTTGTTTGTGGCGGGGGGAGTATATGAGTTGATGCTTTAACCCATGATACATATTTGAAGGCTAACACTCAACAGTCATGAAGTAAATAACTAATAACTACAATAGGGTTTATCATATTATTTTGTATTGRWTCATTAATCATTAGGTTCTTTTCTATCATCGTCGTTGGAAACTATACATTCGATAAAACAATATTATATACAACTATCAACCATAATCATGTAACTAATATAATAATATCCGTATTTTGGATGGACTGGGCTTTGCTAAGCTTGACTTTTGTAGTACGTCGTACAACTATGATTATGATCATTGATCACCCACGTGTGTCAAGGTAAAAAAACAGCAATAGCCAATAATATTGACTAGAGTTTCTTCAGATACCTTTTGCAAATTAAAATCCATAGCCTCTTTAATTTGGTAATAATGATATTATAATGATTATTATTATTATTGTTTTTGGTATTATTACGTACGAATCGTACGATGAGTGATGACCCATAATGTTTTCGCATATTATGTATTACGAATTTACGAATTGTATAGTAAGTAGTAACATAACATCAAATAACGTAAAATACATGCGTACTTATGTATGTATATTTGTTGTTACTGTAATAACTAATAAACGTATATGAATATTAGTTTATAAACTATACCTATGGTGTATAAGATAATATTTATGTACAAAAAGTAAAACACGTGCTATATTGCTTATAATGATAACCTTGTGTCCTTGTTATCTTAAAATTAACATGACCGTAAAACTAGATAAAAAATAAATGAATTGCCAAATTGTTAGTTGGTTTAATCGGAATTTGTACTTTTCAACACATATTATACTCGTACACGACCTCGTCTATACAAAATTACGGAAAGCCTAAATCTATAATCAGAGCTCTTTATATCATAACCCATTGTATATTATTTATTATGAATACGTGTAAGCTCGTAAGGAAGTCTATGTAATATTATAATTAAATAAAGTTCATCATCACGTATGTGTCATGGAATGCGCGTATAAATTACTACTACTACTTTTATTATTATGTGACCACGGACAAACTGTTATCTGTGTTCGAATTGCCGTTATATTTGTTATTTTGCATTCTAATATTATGTACAAACAGCGCTGCCGTCCCGCTGCAGTGGTATTATTAATACTTTAAATTCAAAAACAAAAAAAAATGCCCCATGTGAAATTGGAACTTGTTGCGCAACGAAGAGAGTTGCCAACGGTCGACGGGGACCGCAACGTACGGGTCTGATTCTGTAGCAGTATTCGCCAGTATACACACTATATTATACATAATATTATTTATGTGTTCAGTGTTAGTATAATGTATAGTATAATATACATAATATTCCTCTCACTGGATTCGATGATTACTGCCAGTGTTTGGTTCTTCGAATATCGCAATATTCGAATATTCAGATCGTTATTTACACGCGCACTCTGCACTTTTTATCAAGCGCGCGTAGTGCGTACACACACTCCACCACACCACACACGGTCATTAGTAGAATTAATTCGACAAATTACAACAACAAATCCTAGGGAAAATAACACCGAATCCTCGTTTGGAACGGTTTAACGGGTACTCTCAAGTCTCAACATAAGTTATGCGATGCGTCAGTATAATATATTACATTATATTATATTATAATTTATGAAATCTATTAAGTACATAATAACGTTATAATATTAACGTAACATTATGTATTTATGTCCAAACACCGATCGACCTAGTCAACATATTATATATTATTATTTATTATAATATATACCGTCGTATTAAGATGATTAAATAAGAATTATGTGTCATGGTTACACGGTGTGCACACTGTGCACGGAGTAACGATACTTCAAACTTCCAAGTATAATTATTTTAGATTAGTTGTCACTTGTCTGTAGTCCCCCAATGTTTTTTTGTAGATTTTATGTTATCGAAAGTATTATGTTATGATATCCATTAGSATTTAGGTTGATCTAAGTAATAAACACGTATATATAGTTTCAGTAGGCGCAAATAGGGGGAGGCTTTGGTAGCTAAGCCGCCCCCAAACATTTCCTAAATGCTGTATTAAGTTTATTCAATATTATTAAATTCGGGTCTTACCCTCCCCCCAAATCTCAAACACTATTTGTGCCCAAGGAAACTACTTCCATCTACGTGACTGTGTGTCGTTGAGATGTTCAGGTGTATAGTAAAATCGGGGTGTTMTTCGAATAACTTTTTAATTGAAACCTACGTTTTTTAAATTGTTTATTTGTTTATTTATTTATTTAATAGTAATACAATATGCGAATATACAGATTACAGGTGCTTGTCCTATGCACAATAAACCAGCTATTACTCCTTACTTAATACATAACCTAACCTAACTTAACCTACATATTGACTATTATGAATAATACTAAATTTAATATGATGACTAATGAGCAAAATTATTTATCCGCGACCATTACTATTCGGTCATTCGGTGCATACAAATCTAAGATCAATAATAACAATAATAATAATATAACCGTACGTAGGTAATATACTTTTATTATTATGTGTATCGCGCATATACGTCGACGGAGCAGAGGTGCAGGAGATAAAAAAAAAAATTAGTCTTGTCAGTATAAAACAAAATACACTTTGTGCTGCTGCTGCTGCTGCGTTGCTGCCAATTATAAATAATGCAACCAAGACATCAATAACCCCTTCGCGCTGCGCGCCGACCATTTCGCTCTTCGATCGTTTGCGCATTGGCCATTTCACTCGGCCGTCAGGTCACACAACCGGTTTCGTCGCCGTGCCGTGTGTCGTTGCTTCACTCGGCGCGTTCGTTAATAATCTCTACACACACACACACACACACACACTAAGTTACAACTTAGAGGTATATATAATATTATGGTAGCCGTCCGGCGTTTACTCAGCTGAACACGTAACATTTCTGTCCGATCTACCTATACGATCGTAATAATAAAATGTTCCCCCAGTACAAGCGCGTATATTATAATAAATCAAATAATCGCTGCGCGGTTGTTGGTTATTCTTACAAAGGTAATAAATAATATRATAAGCCACACCTGATGTATAATAATATATTATAGCCTACCTACCGTGTCTACTTTACAAGCGCAAAAGTGCAATATTATACTTATTTTAATATCGCGATACTAGGTCCTTGCAGATTTAGTGAAGGGTGCGGGGTCATTTTCAAAACATTTGCCAATACTTTAATATAGGTGCACAAACGAATAATTCGAATATAAAATTTGAAACGATAAGTAAGGTTTGTATTTTAAAAAAGCTTTGAATTTAACTAATTTTAGTAGTATTTATTGACCGCGGACGATTTTCATTTTCAAATTAGATTCCTCGTATCGTTAAAAATCTATTTTTCATCTATTTGTCTAAACTCTCCTTTATCCCGTAACTTAAAGTTTAAATTGTGTTGTAAATATTTAAAAGCACGTCACACTTTTTTAAATTTTATACCTGACATTATTTTTCCTTACCATTTAGTTAAAATGTTAACATTATATATTTATAATCTTTGTTGTTGTTGTTGTTATTACAGGCGTGTATAAGTTTATATACAAGTGCTATAATATTACATTTTGTCTGTAACTATCAATATCGTTTTAGACTGTGACTTGTTGTGCTAATAGCACATGATACAATATTAAATGAATGTTATATATATATTTGCCCTATGCGTATCCTCAAAATTAATGGTCTTATCGTCACATAGTATTCAACGACAGTGGACACCGTACATACTGATTAGTGATTACTGATTAGCGATTTTATATGTTTAATACGTTTGCGTTTTTGGTTTTTCAGCACGCAAAGGACGCGCCGTCGTTGACAATAATTCAATCGAATATCGCTTTGCGTTCTCCGTGCCGATACGACAGCCACACGCAAAACGGATAGCRACATGGCGCACGCCCCCGCCGATCACCGTCGCGCCCACATCCGTCGTCACCGGGATTACGTCGAATGCCAACGGTTTTACGCGGTCACGTAGTACACAGCGGTYCGACGAGCGGTTACCGGCGCGCCCGACGACAAGACGTGTAGGCGCTACGCCGTTGACTTCTTTTCGGTGTTCGCGAGACGCCACGATGCCACTCCGTCCCGTCGCCGGCCCGTCACCGCGGCGGTTACTGTTCTGAGACCATGGCAGACAGTGACACCAGGATGTGGGGCCATAGCGTGCAGGTATCGTCCGGTCCGGTCACCGTCACGTCCATCAATCTGATCGCTCCTCGTCTGCAGCCCAACACTCAGATCACCACGATAAAAGGTGTGTACAACGATAAGTATTCCCAGGTATACGTATGTTATGGCAATTTCGATGCGATTTTGAGAAGAATTTMGATTTTAAATCTTAGATTATATTTTAGTATAGTTGTATGTAATATTASAGTATCTTAAAAATGGYCCCATGTGTAACGTGTTCCTGCAAATTCTATCGTTAGTTGTTGCCTTAAAAATTATGATAATGAAATAATTTGATATAGAAGAATGGTATCACATGAAATTGATGCACAAACTTTGTGACTGTAATAGCTAAAATAGCTTACAGTCCACAATGGTTAGAATATATACACCATGTCACCATGTAAAAGGCTAGATAATGTTTGCTGTATAGTAGTTTTAATTTCAATTGGATTCAATAATCAATTTCATTGTAACCGTTAGTTTATAAAATTGTTATATAATGTTATGGTATTACTGTAGGTGTTCTGGTTATAGTTCTTAAAAAATAACTAATATATTTCTCTGTATTTATTCAATAGTTTAACTGAAAATACTCGTTATTCTATAGAATAACTATATTTAGATTAGGTACTACTTATATTAAAAGACGAAATGGCATACACTATTGCTAACATCAAACATGATACATTGTTTATTATATAATATTTACCTATATTGTATCGACTCTTGATAATTTTTTTTTTCCACCCACAGAGGAACCTCACGACAAGGACGGTACAATGACCGAAATAAAAGATGACATCATCGACGAAGTGGGTTCTGAATGCGATCGGGAAGTAAGTAAGATAGACTTCTCTGGAGTTACTATGAGAAGTAAAAAAATGAGAGCGGTAGAAGAAAACATGCCTCGGCCAATGTCCTGGGAAGGAGAACTTTCCGATTCGGAAATGAAACAGGTAATTGCGACTCACTTATTCTAATTCAATGAACTTGGATAGACATTTTTGTACGAACGTAACTGAATTTCAGGAAGAAGATAGGACAGTGGACGTGCAGACAGCGAATCAAAATTATTTACTTCCACGAAATGAAAATGTAAATAACCAACAGTCGTCTCCAGTTAAACGAATTATTTATGATGATAATAATTTGGTAAGTATTTCCTGTTTAAAAAATCGTTTATGTGTGTATTACATTTTTTTCTTTTTACAGGTCGATCGAGTGATGGAGCATGTCAAGAGCAAAGTAACTTCGTCGAACAACGACATTCCGTTACTTGTTGATAAATTGTTAGGTGGTGGTTACAGCCCTTTACTCCAACATAGAACTAATGGAGTTAAACATACATCACACATTCCACCAACTCAAAGCCCAGACTCGGCCATACACTCTTGTTGCTCACCTGCACAGTCACCAATCACTTCTAGACATAATCCWCCATCATCTTCAGGATTTTCATCTCCATCCACATTCACACCGTCGTCTTTGTCGAGGAATAATAGCGATGCTTCACAATATGGTGGATCACAACATAGTTCTTGTTATAGTCAAAGGTAAAACCATAAATGTTGGCATTTTTATTACATAATTTATGRCACATAATATTGGGATATTCTACAGACTATAATTTTTCAGTGTCTACTGTTTATTAATATGATAAATTTGAATATTTTATTTACAGTTATTCCTCACTGTCTGTTTCTCCTACTCATTTTTCCCCGACACAATCACCAATACAGCCAAGACACATACAAAGAAATTTTCATGAATATAATGTGGCAGAAGAAAACAATGGCTATGAAGAGAAGTTGTCAATGTCTGACATTGGTCAACAACATGGCATAACATCTGGTATTTCAAGGCAACAACTGATAAATAGGTGTGTTTATATTTTTATGTAGAATGGATAAAATATTGAGATTTAACATTAATATTAATATAGGATAATAATTTTTCTATTTTGTTTAGTCCCTGTCCAATTTGTGGTGATAAAATTTCTGGGTTTCATTATGGCATATTTTCATGTGAGAGTTGTAAAGGATTTTTCAAGCGAACTGTACAAAATCATAAGAACTATGTGTGCCTACATGGTTCAGCATGTTTGATAACAATAGCTACACGCAAGAAGTGTCCAGCTTGTCGCTTTGACAAATGCTTGAACATGGGTATGAAACTAGAAGCAATCAGAGTGGATAGAACAAGAGGTGGACGTAGTACKTATCCGTTTACTTACACAATACCACCTTCTAATATGCAGCCACAACATAGTGGACAGCACTCTGGAATGAACTCTAATTCTGTAGAAAATAAAGTCAAGCAGGAAGAACGAACGTGTAGGTCTCCCCCTCAAGAAGCAGCCAGACTGATCCCTCCATTATTGCAAGTAAGTAATGTGTAAACATCTTAAAATATAATTTCTGTTAACAAGCAATAGCACTCTCTAAACCTAAGARATAATGTACCTGCAGGTGTTATCTTCATCATGCTGCCACATACTATATCAAAATATTATACATCCCGCAGTTAAAATTTTGTGTTGTTAGCTTAAATGTTAGAATGATTTATTATTATTATTAAATAATTTAAAAKTACTATTATTATCTAGGGCAAAACAGATAACATACAATTATTACTACAGAAATGCTATACAATTTCCTCAGGGTCTTATAAAATTATATTATTAGTTTAATGACGCAAAATAATTGTAATAGTCAAAACATAATTAAATGCACTTTATGAAACAAAAGTATTTTATACTAAATTTAATTTCTATTAAATTATTTTAGGAAATAATGGAAGTGGAACATTTATGGACTTATAATGAAGGATCATTTGAATCAACATGTGCTAGTGGAAGTTCTATGAATCATTGTGGTGGTGCCAAAGAAATAGCTAAGAGTCGCTTAATGGCTGAAAATTCAGGAACCGATTTCCTTTCTAATTTATGCAACATTGCTGATCATCGGCTATATAAAATAGTCAAATGGTGCAAATCGTTACCATTATTTAAAAACATTTCGGTAATAAGATAAATATTTATTTCAAAATTTATTTGAAGACTATATTTTCTTAAAACGTTTTCTTTAGATTGATGATCAGATATCGCTATTGATAAATGCCTGGTGTGAGCTACTGTTATTCAGTTGTTGTTATCGTTCAGTTAGCAGCCCTGGAGAAATACGTGTCAGCCTGGGCAAGTCCATTTCTTTAGATCAAGCAAGAGAATTAGGCTTAGCACCTTGTATTGAGCGTATGTTGAATTTTACTCAGCACCTGAGACGTTTGAGAGTTGATCGTTATGAATATGTAGCCATGAAAGTCATTGTGCTGTTATCATCAGGTATATCTAATATATGTTTAATTTGATTTTATAAAACATATTTAAATTTATAAGTTTTAACAAATATGAATAATGTGCCTTACAATCAGATGAATTTAATTTAACTATGGTTTCAGATACAAATGATTTAAAAGAATCAGAAAAAGTTCGYGCATCCCAAGAAAAAGCATTACATGCTTTGCAACAGTACACTCTGACACATTATCCTGAGATGCCATCCAAATTTGGAGAATTGTTGTTAAGGATACCTGATCTACAACGTACTTGTCAGGTAGATATSAAATACTATTAAATGATTTTAAATCAAGAGATATTTAAACTGAGGGTCCCGGCTCTAGCGGGTGTTGAAAATATTAGTTAAAGTAGCCACAGTATAGTAGACTAAAAAAATATGATAATAATGTAATCTAGAGTATTATTAAGAGAATACCAGATCTACATGTGTTGTCTTTGTCTTTTAACAAAGTTTAATTTTAAAGCGAATTGACCTATTACCAGATTTAGAAGTGAGAATATTATCTAATGGATGAMAAAGGTTGTTTTTTAAATATTTTATTTTAAAGCGAGTTATGTTCATTTTAAAATATACAAACAATTTACAATTTTAGATTATCTCGTTTTAAAATTAAAATCTAAAAAAACCTGTCATCCATCCACTAGACARTATTTTTACTTCTAAATTTGGAAATAGTTCTCTTTAAAATTCAACATGACAAAGTTAAATAAATTATTCAAGTGYGTAAAATTTGGTATGTTATACATTTGTAAGATGGAGACAACGCAGAGGGTATGGTGTCCTCTTAAGGGAATAGCATTATCAGCAGTAACACGTGTCACATTCGGATGATCAGTTGAATGTTAAGGTTATTTTTATTATTAATTTCATAAATCATAATTATTGTGTTATATATCACCTTTTAGAGTAAACATATTTTGTTATCATTGAAAGTTTGGGAGAAACCTAAATGTTGTGAAGTGACAAAAGAGCCGTAGGATGAAAAAGTTAAAATATCTCTGTTTTAAGTAATACTATGTGAACATGTATTTAAACTTTCAAATAAAATTTGAATCATTTTATTAGCTATCATATGAAATTGGATTAATGGTGAGAGAGATTAGCATTCAAATTTAAAATATTAAATTTGCTAGTTTAATTTTCTAATAATTTTACAACTTATCCCTACTTAATACTTACTCTGTAGTAAATTTGTATTAATTTATGTGGTTTTTTAATAGGTCGGAAAAGAAATGTTGTCAATAAAGAGTAAAGAAGGAGAAGGGCAAAGCTTCAATCTTTTAATGGAGTTATTAAGAGGCGATCATTAATAGTTATTATTATTATCATTATTATTATTAGTAGTAGTATTATTATATAAACGTCTGTGAAAGTATTTCTAAGTTTGTATCAGTAATATTTGTCTAAAAAGTTATTATAATTTCTATAAATATTAAATAATATTTAATATATAAGATTTGTGTACTAAACCTACACAATTCTAATTGTTTTTATGACATTTTTGGTAATTTTTACCTCTATTCTATTATTATTAGATTAAACTGAAATCTAAAAATCTTAKAATTATAATTTGTAGATATATTTTTCTAATTTTAATATTTTTTAAGTATAAAGAAAATTATATTTAAAACATAAATTCAGAACAGTCTGAATACTGTGATCTTAAAATAGAATAAACATTATGTGTGTAAATAATGAATATAATAATTTTAAATCTCCAATTATATTATGTAGTACAGGGTTTTATTGTTAAAAAAACWCWTTTTTTGTCAAATTCTATTAGTGCTCGGTATTAGTTATTCTTTTAAAATACCTTGTACTTAATAATATTATAATACACAGTGATGGGCTGGCTGTCTTCTATTTCAATACAATGTACTTAATTATTATATATCTATTATCTTGTTATACTATATATCATATGTATTTTCTGTCTTACCATAAAATATTTACCAAAATTGAAAATTTCAATAATAATTTTTGAACCATTTTATTAATGTCTGTTTTAATCACAAGTATTTGACAATGATATATTAAATTATGTTTGTGTGCAATAAGTTACGTTACCAAAATTGAATTTACTTATTTCTTTGTTTTATTTTCTATTATTGAAATTTTATTGTGCCCATCACTTTGGAAAAATATTTCTTTGCTAATATTATAGTTTTTAGTATAAAAACATAAACGTTTAATTTATTTGAATGATAAGTTTTTAAATTTATGATTTATGTTTTACATAATTGAAAAATGAAATTACATTTTTGATTACCTTCTGTATTTTTTTTCATAATTTTTTATTATCTTTTTAATAAAGCAATGCATTAAATATAATACTGATATCATAGTTTGTTATATTTAGTAGACATTGTCATATTGGCATAATCGAAATTTAAGCAATATTTTTTTAATTAATATGTTTTTATAAAGTTGATTAATTAATATAAAACAAATAAATACATTTAATTTTTTACATTGTTTATAATCCAATCCTTAATTTAACATTAAAATATTAAATACAGTATTGTATGTTGTAGCTYTAAATTTGATAAAAGTATCAATAGGCATGGGTGCATGATACAAATTAAGAAATGTGGATGTATCAAATTGTTCATTGTGATTAGAAAAAATCAAGTTTGAAATGTAATTATGGTACATTGGTACAACTTACAAAGTTATGAGTTTACAACATAAAACGTATGATTAGGTTATATCCATTTAGGTGCATATTAAAAATGTTGGATATAATAGTTTAGGTTAGGTTTAGAAATTTGACAAATTCATACTCATAAACTGGTGTCGGCCACACGTGTGTCGACTGAAACGATTTTTATTATATAAACAACAGATTCGATATTGTGTTAGTGAGTAGTGAGTACAGATTGAGAACTTCGATCGTTAGAAGTGCGTAAGTGGATTAAAAAAGTTGCACGGATGATCGAACGTTTCCAGAATAAAAACTTAATCGACTTAGTTGACAAAAATGCGATTACAAAATCGATGCAAGAAATGGCCTAGGTGAGTTGCGTGTAAAAGACGTGCTTGCGCGAGTTCGGTAGCGAAAGAAAAAATAAAGGTGTGCGCGGTTGTTAGCGACGTTAGCGTGAACAGGTAACGTAGGTCAGTACCGAATAAAACAACAAAAAGGACGATGCGAAATTCGATTGGTACAATTGCGTTTGATGTAGGTGAAACTGCGCGAAGGAAGAGCAGGACTGCTTGACTTTACATCGACAGATTGGACTGCGTATGCGWGTTCGRCAATTGGATCCTTACGTGCGATGAATRCTGCAAGTTTGAGTCGATCGATGGAAATCCACATTGCACCTTGAACGTCTTTTCCCGGAATTCGAGTATGAAGAATGGGCACTCATAACATGGATGAAGCGATGGTCTGACGGCGTCGATCCGTTTAAAAACATTACTGACTCTGCTCAAGTCGATGGGCATCACGRACKTAGTGCGTTGAGTATCGTAGTATCGTGATTCGTTCCCGGAGTGTATTGGAGCAATATCATGGAGTCTCAGAACTCAGCTACCAGCTCGGGTGGTCGTGGCTTGAGATGAGCGTGCTGAAAGTACTTGCCTGGGAGTCTGGGCATAGTACCGTAGTATACCAATTATAGGCTGAAGCTAGTTCTATTGACTGTGTTGCTATAGGCAGCTTGACTGACCACTGCGACGATTCGTGCGAATGCGCCGAAAACATTATACCTTCCCGTCGGCCTGAGGGTGATGCGAATAATATGCTGAATGCCAAAGGTGATCAAAAGTGATTTGAACATACGATCCTACTCGAACTGTCGGCCCCGATCGTTGGTGATGCTATTCAGCTGCGTAGGTCGACTATTCTCGATCGCCACTCCTCTGACCAGCTCGTGAATAGGTCGACGACGGTTAGTTTGTACTGTTTGTAGTGTTTGTACTGCTGTATTTGCTTGTAATAGTGGCCCAATCGAGTCAATGTGAACGTAACAAAATAGTGACTCTTATTGGTGTGATGCTGGACGTCGTGTGTTTTTGTACTTTGGCGAGTTTGCACGATTCGCAGGCTCTGGTTCATCGCATGATTTTTCGGTCCATGCTCAGCCTGCGGCAATAGCGCGATTTGATTTGTCGAAGGGCGGTGGCGCGGCGCCACGGCGGTGACCACGCGCCTTGGGCTTGACCGTTGTCTGTCGTACGTGCTGTATTTTTGTTCGGCGAAGATAACTTTTTCAAAAAAAAAAAAAAACCCAGCTACTGCCACTGCGGACCGCTGACGTTCTGTTTAAAGACGGCTCCCATCACGATGGTAATATTTGACCCGTCTGTGTTGAGGCGTAGCACGGCGCTCGGGCTTAGGTGTGATAATCGTGCTGTATCGGCGAGTGCTCGTCGACGGGCGTCAAAAATGGCTTGTGCGGTCGCCGTCCACAATTATAGTGGACTGTTCCGTTTGTTGTTGGTATACGTACCGATTTCTTAATTCGTGACCGTATTATATAGATATTTAATATTTTTTTCTATGATAATTGTTTCATTGAGGATGTCTGATTTCCATGTGTGACAGTCTGTCTGGCCGTTATTTATAAATATTTCACATTTTATTTAGTTCATTAGATATAATGATATGTGAGCATATAATTATTATAATAACTATATTATCGAATTAAATATCAAGTCAATCATGGGATTCCATATTAAAACACACTGATGTCCATAGGTGCAAATCAATTAAAAATATTAAGGATCAAATATTTTCCGTTATTAAGTGTTTTTCGTCATAGAGAGGTAGAAATTTCATATATTATTTGCACCGGGACTATTGACATTTTCTGTTTAATAGAGGATCAGTTATAAAGAGGTTTTGATGTAAATAGAATTTAATAAAATAAAAATAAAAAACCATTTGACTCTCAAAAATACTTAGTTATATATTTGTTTATATAGAAAAGTTCGTTATACTATTGAAGTTTCATTGTAATTATAGTATATAGGAATATGTAATAATTACATAGAACACACTACCTTTCCATATCTCATTGCTTATGAATAATATTGTAATATCCAATAGACTATCTTGATTCTTGGGCTGTAACACGCGCGATTGCGCCCGTTTTACCTTTTTACCTAYAAAAAACGCAACATGATTGCGCTCCGTGCAATATATATGTCTTGCCCTTATAAATATAAGTCTTTGCCCAATACACTTTTTAAAAATACAGTCAAAGTATTAAACTCAAAGTTGAAGTTAAAAGTTCGAGTTATCAGCTGAGTTCGACAAGTTTAACAGTTTTTCTTCCCAATTTTACAGGCTTAGGGACTGAYAACAAAATTAAATTGTTGGTTTGGTTAAAAATTGTTTCTTATATTTCTTATATTTCTTTATACATTTTTTTTACAATATGTTCAAAATAACTCAATACAATTACGTAAAATACGAATAATTTTTTTTTTTCAATAGGTTATAATATTATATGATATTATATGTCCACATTAGTATACACTAATGATATATATATATTTTTAAATTATAATATGTCCAAATATTTTTAAAAAAAACCCAATAGAATTACAAATTACAATTTCATGGCACAACATTGTGGCCCCATTGCTTTCAAATATTC